AAAAAATTATCCAAATTGCAGGTTGTTGTGAGTGATTTTTGAGATTTTTTTCTTCATATTTTTTAAGTATTGTCTAAATGATTTGAATCTTGAAAATGAAAAGAACATGTCGAGGGAAAGAACAGAAACAGTAATCAATTGGCAAAGAAGTAATTTTTAGTGATGATGTCGGACCCATTTGGATGAATTTGGCACGTTTTGGCCATTGTAGCATGACATGGCAAAAGTTTTTAGGCATATCATCACTTTTTTAAATTTTGCTCTCCACATCATCAAAAAAAATATAAAAAATACCACATAAGCAGAGTTAACGGCCCAAATTAACAGAAGGATTAACGGAGTGCATTTCGTATAGTTGAGGGATCAAAAAAGTGCAAAAAATTGTTGAGGGACCAAATTTAGCATTTAACAAAAAAAAGAGAGGATGGAATTTCCATTCCACTGATTAGATTTGTTGCCCTGCTCTGTTTTGACTTCTGAGAGTAAATTACAAGGGCCAAGACCAAAAGCACATTAGGGAGCAGTTGCAAACAACTTCCTCTGTTCCATCATATTCAGGGGCTTGCTTTAGAATATTCTAAAGATGATTATAATGCCTTTTTACTCATTAGATTCTTTAGTAAATTAGTTTTGCCAGTTTGCGGCCTTTCACTTTCACCATTTTTTTCTGCCCATTCCTTTAATCCCGTAATTCTTATCTCTGAATCAGATACAGCTATCTACCGAGTGAAACCGTCTCGAAAGATTGGAACTTTTTTGCTTTAAATGGAAAAAGATTGAAACTTTGAGCAAACCCATGTGCTCTGTCACCTCACCTGTTTGCTCAATTGCCTGAGAGAGAGAGAGGGAAAATTCAAAGCAGAGACTTTGAATCTGATAATCTGTTTAGCAAGCAAACAAAAATATAACACCTTAACCAAATTGCATTGACTTATTGCCCTTCAGGCACTCCACACATCTTGACGACTAATCACTATCATTAAAGATTGTGCAAATTAAATGTCAACACGACACTCTCTTTCTTTTTCTTCTCATTTTCTTCTTCTAAGATTGTCTGGCTAAAATTCTTTCGAAACCCGGAGATAGTTTGGGATTGGGTTTCTGGGTTTTGTTTGTTCCTTTGAAGTTTGATCTCATAATCATGTTTTAGGAGTTTGTTGATAAGTTCCTTAGAAACCCAATAACCATTTGGGAATTGTGTGTGTGCGTGTGTGTTTTGTTTTTCCAGGCTTGTCTGTTTTGTATTGTACTCAGTCGATTGGCTTTTATTTTTTCCTCTTTCAGCTTTTACCGGAATTCCGTAGAAAATCCCTGAAAACCCAGAAGTTGTTTCGAATTTGTTCATCTGGGTTTTGCTTGTTTTTGCTATTCATCGATTGGTCCATTCATGGGTCGTTTGCCATTCATTCTTCTTTGCTTTGTATTCCTATTTCTGGGCACTTGTTTTTGTTCGTATCTCGAAGATCAGGAGAGAGACAAAATCAGCAGTTTGCCTGGACAGCCAAAGAATGTTCAATTTAATCAGTTCTCAGGCTATGTGACAGTGAACAAGAAAGCAGGAAGGGCATTGTTTTACTGGTTAATTGAGTCACCAGCTAGTCGTGCAGCCGAATCAAGGCCACTTGTCTTGTGGCTCAATGGGGGTCCTGGCTGTTCCTCCGTTGCTTATGGAGCTGCGGAAGAGATTGGACCCTTTCACATTAGGCCTGATGGCGAGACTCTTTACTTGAATCCTTATTGATAATGTATATATATTATAGTTGTATACTTGTAAAGGGTAGTTAGGGTATTTCCTACAATATACCACATGTATAAATACTCTTTTACAATAATGAAAACCCCAGTGAGGCATTATCTTCTACACTTATGCTTGGAACAACTGTAAGTGAAATTCTATGAATATGAGCTTGTATAATTTTATGATTTTCTTTGCATTGCATTGTCTCTGATTTCATTTTAATTTGAATTGTTTTGTCAGTGGCAAATGTGTTGTTCCTTGAATCTCCGGCTGGGGTTGGATTTTCGTACTCAAACACCACATCAGATCTATATGATGCCGGTGACAAGAGAACTGGTAATTCATCAGCTTGATCCTCGAGTAATTTAGTATTATTACAATGTAGTTGTGTTCCGCTTGCTACTGTGTATGGTTTGATCCGAAAGATGAATGCCTTTATATCTGAATTTGTTTTCTAAACTTTTTCAGAGAGTTGAATTAACATCTCTTTATGGTATTGTGATCTGGGTGTTATAAATTTTGCAGCTGAAGATGCATATGTTTTTCTGGTGAATTGGTTTGAAAGGTTTCCACAGTACAAGCATAGAGATTTCTACATTGCTGGAGAAAGTTATGCAGGTGTTACTTTGATTCTTAGTTTTTGATTTTATGTTTCTGCTTGATTCATAGGTGATAGGTGTTTATGATCACATTTTCGGTGAATCAATTTTAGGTCACTATGTTCCTCAGCTGTCTCAAATTGTCTATGAAAGAAACAAGGGGGTACAAAATCCAGTTATTAATTTTAAGGGATTTTTGGTAAGAATCTGTGGGCTATTCTTTTTCCCTATAAAATGGTTGCACTTGCACACGTTGGTCATATGGGCGAATGCCATTACTTTTCTTGGATATACTAGGTTGGGAATGCTGTTACTGATGATTACCATGATTATATTGGCACATTTGAGTATTGGTGGACCCATGGTTTGATATCTGACTCCACATTTCAAAAACTAAGAGCTGCGTGTGATATGGGATCCTCTACACATCCATCCCTTGAATGCATGGCGGCTCTTAAAATAGCAGAGGTTGAGCTAGGAAACATCGATCCATATAGTATCTTCACACAACCTTGCAATAGAACTGGAGAACTAAGGCGAAACTCGAGGGGTCATTATGTAAGTTCTAATTGATTTTTTCAAAATGAACAATAATAATGGGTTTGCCTGTGGTCTTGGTTTTGAAGTTTTAATCTGTCTATCAAATATTCCTGCATCTAGGACTCATATTATGCAGAAAACCCTAATATGCTGTTGCCTGCACACTATTTGACCTTTCTTCTCTGCCCTTTAGGAGCTTTCAGCGCTGATATGGCTTTGGCTTAGGTTAGTGGTGAGCAATAGGATGGAGAAATTTTACTTGTCTCATAATGTCTAAATTCTGATATCCAGCATTGTGACTTGTGATGAAAGGTTTATACAATTTTGATGACTAATCATCCATGTAAAGACATGTCAGATAAGTGTATGTTTCTATGTTTCCTTTCCATAACTATAGGGTTACTTTTAGTTATATTATTTGCAGATGAGGCAGACGGTTAAGGTTTAAGATTCTTTAAACACATTTGAAAATGACAGCTTGTAACTTCTAAAAAAGTATAAAATCTTTCTAACACTACAAGTTTCTTAGTGGGACTTGCATTTAATCTGTGCCATTCTATGCTCCAAGGTTTGCAGCCATAGTGGTCCTGGTGGAGGTGTTGTTTTTCCTTGATATCCTCACACTCATAGTATTCTTCTTTCCTCTAACTTCCCTTCTTTCCTTTGCATGCTTGTGGTCAGCTAATCAGTACAATCATTATAGAGGACATTCAGTAGACATCATTTAGTTGACTAAAATCTTTAAATAAGAGCTGTGGACCACATATAGGAAAAAGGATGCTCATGCATCCATGTATTATACTTTGGATCTCTAGTAGATGTAATGGGCATCGAGTCTTTGGGTAGTTGGACGAAGCCAGATTTTATTCATCAACACTGCTTTCTGCAATTAAGTAGGTGCCTTGATTTCAACCGTCTTGATGTTTCAACATCGTTTGAACTAACTTTGCATTTTCAATTAGGTTCACTAGTTTCACTAGTTTGTCACAGAATTAAAAGAAGTGCTTTTTTATCCTCTCATTCTTCTCCTCTTGTCATTATTCTTATAAAATCAAATAATTCTTGAAGCTGTTTCTATCACTAATAGAATAACTGGATTAAAATTGTTTTTATTGTTTTCTGTTACCGGATTAAGTCCTTCCTCCTGGTGGCTGTTAGGCATTGCTTAAGCAGTCCTTGGTCTTTACTACTGCTGAGTGGGACTCTATTTCCCTTTTCCTTTTAACATCCCCTAGTTAAGGTTGTCTGCCACACATTGCAGCCTTGGATGTCAAGAGCTTATGATCCATGCACAGAGAGGTATTCCAACGAGTACTTCAACCGCCCAGAAGTTCAGAATGCACTTCATGCAAATGTAACTGAAATTCCTTATCCATGGAAAACATGCAGGTACCTTTTCAGTTTGTAAATATGTGGGTTAGTTTTACATATCATATAGTATCTTCTTTTCTTTTTTTTAAGCGAATATCTCAATTTCACAGTGATATTGTTGGAAACTACTGGACTGATTCTCCACTTTCTATGCTTCCCATTTATCGAGAACTAATAGCTGCTGGTCTTAGGATATGGGTATACAGGTAAGCTCGGCAGCTCAACAGATTTTGGTTAGTTACTCAGAAACTCAAGCACTTCATTGCCCTAGAAGTAGCCAAAATTGATGTTATTAGGAACTTTACATAACCTAAGATTAATTTATAGCATCATAAGATTGACCCAAAAAAAGAAAATCTATGGCATCTTAAGCACGCCTTGATCTTTTTGAGGTTGTTATGCATTTGCATTGAAGATGGATACTGATTAAACTGTCTTTCCAGTGGAGATACTGATGCAGTGGTTCCTGTAACTGCAACTAGATACTCCATTGATGCCCTGAAGCTACCTACAATTACCAACTGGTATCCTTGGTATGACAATGGAAAGGTCAGTGAGTTTTTAACAGGCAAATTTTAATTTAAATAGTTCCTTGTCATTTGATATCATGTCAACAATCTACTATTAAAACAACATACTTTGTATTTTGATGCTATTATCATGTCCAAATATATGATTCATGGCTGCTAAGATAGGCAAAATGGCTAGAATTAAGAAAAGCAAAGAGGGAGGATACGTTACATCTTAAACCTTTGCAATCCTCTGATCTCTCACAACATGAAGATGAAAGTATCGATATCTCGAGGCCATTACTATGGCAATTAACATGCTGATCATAGAAGACTTCTTTTATTTGTGACACAGGTTGGTGGGTGGAGCCAAGTCTACAAAGGACTGACATTGGTAACAGTTACAGGAGCTGGCCATGAGGTTCCCCTCCATCGCCCTCGTCAAGCTTATATTCTTTTCAGATCATTTTTGGAGGACAAGCCAATGCCCAATCAATAAAGCAAAATAATTATAGCAATTATTCATACACCGGAGCAGGTGATCCAAAAAGAAAAAGAAACATAAAGAGAAGAAGCACTCTGCTTGAATGCTCCCCTCATTCTTGCCCCCAACCTACAACTCTTCTAATCTTTTTTACCTTCTTATTCATGATCAGGTAGAATAAAATGAATTTAGGAATATATGGAGATTGAACTAGAACCCAGCTTTCTGTACAATATCCACATGTGAAACATGGAGTGAGTATTCTTTCCACAGTTTCAATAAGTGAAACTGTGAATGTTGCTTCAAATTAGTTGATGTTTTCTTTGCATGGTGCAACTATATTCTTGAATTGGTGAAGTCTTGAACCACTTTTAATCTTATCTCATTTAAAAATATCGTTTTATAAAATCCCCATCCCTAGTTGGTAGTGTAGAATTAGGGGGGCCTCCTATTTCATTTTTAACCAACTGATTGAATGATATTATTGATTAACTGAGAATTTGGTTAACCAACATTAGTTGGTCGGTTTAAAGTAACCAAGCACCCTTTTGCCTGTCGATTAGTGGTATGTGAAAGTCAATAAAGAAATTAACTAACCAATCAACCTAACCAAAAATGACACATAATAAGTATCCTTTCAAAATTCTAGATTTTTCCCTTTAAATGCCTGTCTTGTTTCATAGACACTGACCCACTAAAACAAACATGTTTCAATCAAATTGGTTGGTAAACTATAAAGCATATGGCTAGTCGTCTAACTAAATTAACCGACTCATAAATAATTTAATATATTTAGTTTGGTTATCAAAAGTTTTTTTTTATTATTTTAAATTGTATAGTAAAAAAATTATTATTTTATTTATGTATTATATAATTCAAATTTATAATCAATTATTTTCATTAAAAAAACATTAGTAAATTATTTAAATTGTTTATGATTAAATTAAGAATTTTGATTTATTTAATGCCTAGAAAAGTTTGATGTATATCTAAGATATGACGATGTAGTATATTGAGTCAACCAAAAATCACCACCTCAGTTTTTTTTTTTTCGCTAAGCGATTAATGAGATATAAAAAAAATTACTAAAGTGATGGTTCTTAGTTGATCATATTATCGCATCAACAATATCAGGAGGATATACCCCTTGTAATACCCAAAAAAAATGTCAAATGTGCATAAGAATATTTTGTCAATTCATGCAAAATTTTTTTTTTTTTTGAAACACTTACATTGGTACAGCAACGGAATACATATTCATGCGTTATTTTAATAGCTAAAAAAATATTATCATTTATTATAAAAAAATAATGAAGTTTATAATATTAGCGTAACAGGTGAGGTCCATGAAACATTAAAGGACGCGAAATCTGGGGCGTCGGATCGGGCGCTTGGGCCGTTTACGTATCCTCCTATCCAAGGAACAGTGGTTTTACAGCACAGAGGTCTAACATTTATTAAATCCAACGGTGAATCTGTGTGTCAGTAATTTCGACAGTGATGGTTCCAACCACGTGGCCCAGTTAAGGCTACTTCCTGGACACTGCTACGTTGATCATCAAGGGTCAAAATTTTGATTGTCAAACAAGTGTGCGATTAGATCTAGATTTGATCCAGCTCACTTCAATTTTTTTTTTCCCTACTGGTATAACATT